ACTCATTAATTTAGGATTAATGATGTCTTTGCCACATCTGCGTTAAATGTTCTTTTATTCTTGCAAACAAAGAATGATAGTGTACACTGCTTAGAAGCTAATTAGAACTAGGCACAGAAATCAAGGACTTCAGTCAAATTTGCAGTAAATGTGAAAATAGCACTTTTTCGCGAGGCAGTTTCAGCAGGTTTAGATATCATACCAAAACCCTCAGAGCTATCAGTGTAGATATCCCTGTTAGTGAATTACTGGAATGCTCCCGCCTACTGAAAGAAGTTATGCCGAGCCTTTCGATCCTGGACTGCATATCTCCAGTTAGTACCCATCTCAGTTAGTACCCATCCAGTTAGTACCCTTTTTCTTTTCGAAGTATACTCAAGTGCTCCTTTTATCTTACTTTGAGGCTATCATAATGATAAAAGTTATACTTTATCCTCCATCTACTATTGCAAATTACTTGCCAGCATGTGCAAAGCGTTCAAAAGAGCAGATCATTAATGCTAATTATATATGCATGCAACTGGGATGAATAATTAACAGGTTCACCTGAGTGGCCTAAGTGAATCGGGTAAATAATAAGCGACAGTTAGTGAGCTGATGACCATTGCTAATGTGTGACCTGAGAATAGCAAATCACCGCACAGCATCTTATCATCCATATCCTGAAATCTGGATACACTGAATTAGAAAACGAATCTCATCAAGTGAAACCAAACCGTACTTGTTCATCTGTTAAGTATGAAAATGAAAACTGAAGGAGTCCTTTGAACTGCTTTTTATCTGAGGGGAGGCAGGGTGTAAGAATGATAGCAAGCAGCTAGCCTGAGTACCAATTTAAGTAAGGTAAATGACCACCCATCCTTGCACCATCTGCCCTTAAGGATCGGAAAATTTTCAGAAAGGCGCGAAACTTAGGTTTTGCTTATTGTAATAAGTTCCTTCAGAAAAATTTTTTGTGAAATTCTGCTCGGTGACATTTCACATTTCTATCCAGTGTACAGAGAGATAAAAAGGGAGAAGGGGAAGGGAATCTTGAAACGTCGTTGCAAGATGTCTTTCCTGAAGAAGCAGTTTCAGTCAGTTAAGCGATAAACAAATAGCCGGTTACCATCGTCAACATTATCATCATCATCATCAACAACAACAACAACATCTATTACTAATGACAATGTCACCATCATTATAGTACATACCTGGAATCCAAGTTTAATAGTTTGTGATAAAACACGCCATGCGAAGGTATTCCAGTTTCGACCCGTTTCATTATTTTGAGCACGACATCGTTCATTATTATCAACATAACCGGATGGTAACTGTGTACAGAGCAGTGATATTGTTCGCATCGTATACAAGCAAGCTGCAACATCCTTACGGGTCAGAATGCCAGCAAGCTACTCCATCCAGCTTTATTTAAAAGCCACTTTCGTATTTCTGGATGAATCAAGTTGAAAATTGGTATTTGGTTATTGCTGATTTTTGGAGTTATTCATCAACAATCCTCATCATCTTGTTAGTGTAAAGAGATAATGGTA